TTTTTCGCAAACGGATCCACCCTGATGATGTGTTGTGAAAGCAGCGACTGTGACTTCACAATTGTTGACCTCCCTTTACCTGCTCTGTAAAGTTTGCAGTAGGTTTTTTTACTTTTTGCCAAATTGCTCCCAGTGTTCATTTCCTCCTGTTTCTTTGGAGGCATCCATGGCACTTGCTTCAGACCCTTAACCTTATCACCATCATCATCACTGTCGTTAACAAATCTGATGGGCGTGGAGCCGTGTGCTTTATCCTTGCTGTCCTGTGGTACCTTGAGGACCGTCTTCGTCACATCACCCCTCACATCATCAGAGTCATCTGAACAGCTACCTCTTCTTTCTTTAAACACATCCGGGATGATCACATTATGCTTACAGGTGTTACCTTTGACCTGATTTCTGCCCAATGACTTATTTTTGGTCTGGGTTCCAACTACGCTAGGTTCTTTCTTCATTGGGGTCATGCCCTCTGGGTGGACAATCTTATGACTAAAGAGGATGTAAGGGTTTGGAAAACCTTTCCCACACATATTACAATGGTACTGTCCTTGCGTATACCAGCATCCTTCCAGCTCCTTCATCTTATGGAAAGCCTCCATCATCTCTTCTTCACTCATCGTGTTGAAGGTCTTATGGTCGGATTTTGGACCACTTTTACGCGACGGCATATTGTTGGCTTTCTGGTCTTCTCCATGAGTGTGGTTTTCAAACAGAATCAGATTTGGAAAGTGTCCTCCGCAACCACTGCAGACAATTTTCCCCCTGTCCATGTGAAAAGATCGCTTGTGTAGCTCCACACTTTGCCTCTGTGGTGTCACAGTGATGATTTGGGGTAGCAAAGACATGATGAGTCAATCTGGCCGCACCAACCTCTATTTCAGTGACTGTGGATCTGACAAACAAGAGCGAAAGTCATTTAATGTCACAGTCTGAAAATATTCCAGCCATATCTGGCAGCCTGTAAATAATCAGATCTGGAACAGGCACTCGGATGGTGGACAGCATGAGCTACAGTTCACAGCCAGGTCACATGTTGTGAACACCTGATACCAATTACGATGTCGTCTTACAGTAAACATACAGAAACAGCTCCAAATAAGTGGCATATTTGACAAAATAGGCACAATAAAACATCATCATCCAATATATCATTGCTTGCACACAAATACACATGAGAAAAACATGGAAACACCAAAATAAGTTCACAACCTCGAGGGATACATGCTGTCAGGGGAGTGAGTGAGTTTAGTTTTATGACTGCTTTTACTTTAGCAATAATCCAGCAATATCACAGTGGGACACCAGAAATGGGCTTCACACATTCTACCCATACAGGGAATCGAACCAGGGTTGTCGGCGTGATGAGCAAATGCTTTAACCACTAGGCTACCCTGCCACCACTGTCAGGGAAGGGACATACAGGCTTTTCACAGGGTGCATCACAGCCAATGCTCCAGCGGTTTGTTCACAACACATGTATCTTTCTGACATACTGTACATTCACACAGATTCCGAATACATAACTACATATCTGCCATTTCACTTAGTTTGTAAAACTTGAAGTCAATGATACCTGAACAGAGTTGGTAATTTGAAGCATTGGTAATAAGAAACATTGTTCATTTCAGAAACTCATTGACACACATGCAAGATTACCTTGGATGTATTCCAATTGACTTCTCATCAAAATGTATGAAATTTGTATCCCCATCTGTCAGGCTGGCCAAAGTGAAATTAACTGCCTGCTTCATAACCAATCAGAAACAAATTATATACTTAATTTATTCAAGTATATATCAGTTTTTACTGACATGTATTTACTGATCAAACACAGGCATCATGTTACTTGACCTTAACTGCTGAAAAGAGCAATATCTGACCAAGTGTGTTAACATGTGTTTGTTGATATCTGCATTTGCTGAAGGGATATGATATATTTTGTTTGTCCATTATACTCTTAATTATTTTCCCAAAATACTGAGTCCCCTAGAGGGGAGCACATTTTCATGGGTGTGCACTAGATTCAAGAAAATATGATCTGTGCAACTGGGATAAGATGACATGTGTCGATGAAGTCAGCGAGTCTGACCACCCAATCACGTTAGTCGGCTCTTACAACAAGCATGGGTTACTGAAGACTGATTCTAACCCGGATGTTCACGAGTAAATACATAAAGAATACCTTCCAGAGGTGCAGTCAATAATACTTAGTAAGTAAATACTCACTGGCTGAAAGATTTATCTTATTCAAATAATACGTCATTATCAGCTCATCCATATAGTCAGAGATGCGAAAGTCTTGAGGGACAAATTCTTTTCATATTCTCTATACATCTGGAAGATCATTATCAAAATCCTAGGAAATGTCTGGAAATAGTGGACTATTCACTGTATGTTGACTTTGTACGAAAAAAAAAAGTGAAATAAAAAATAAAGTTCAAACACAAAACATTGGAGAAAATTATAATTATTATTATTATGCTAATATTTGTTTAGCGCTAATATCCAGCTCAGTTCCCCAAAAGCTCTTAAATGTTCTGTACAACAACTGAAGTGGTTCAAGAAGCTGATAATGCAATACCATCTTCAATGACTGAACATGATGAAAAACAAACGTAAAAGTATTACTACATGACAGCAGGAATTAGTAAGTAAAACTTGCATATGGCTGCCTTAAAAAATCAAGATGCATCAATCAATCAGATGCATGGCTCATAGGCCTAAAAAACAATGTTGTGGTTCCGACTACCTGACCGACCCTTGAATTCTGGAGCCAACCCTATTTTTTTAAGCAGACTGAATAAAGTAAGGTTTTGAGATACCATTGTTTTTTCCCCGCACCGACAGATATCGGTCATTCTGATAGAAAAAGTCAACATGATGGCCGCAAGCTTGATTGAATAAACAATTACACATTGATACATGTGTTATTAGTTTGTACTTTCCTTCTAAAAAATATATGTAAAATAAAATAAAAATAAAACTTCCTACCTAGGCTGTTTCATCACAAGGCATTGTCACTACATGATATGGTTCTCTTGAAAACCTTCACAGGCTCCCACCTGGTGCTACTAAACAATGAAAAAAATGTTTTAAAAAAATTGATAAAACCGACCCACCTACCCTATTTTTGAAAAGCATGTAATAGGAAACAGACATATTTTTTTTCTTGGCCCTACCTACACTAAATTTTAAAGAGATGTAATCGGAAACACAACATTTTTTTTATTTGTCCATATTAAGAACATCATCTTAATATACAGTTGGAAACACTCACTATCAGTCTACCAAGTCTGACGGTGACCCCAATGATTATCGTGACTGCTACTGCAACAAGAAAAGATTACTTGAGGCCAATTCTCACCATTGTAGAGTTGCATCCAAACAATGACAACAAAGGTACAGTGATTTGGAAGAGATATTTTCTTTGGCAAGTTTGTTTCAGACATTTTTACACAATGTGCCACTGATAATTGCAATGGATCTTAAAATCAACATAAGTACAATCTGTATAAACAGCATAGCAAATGCTTGGTGTTACCTGGCAACTGGTTCAAATAAAATGTAATCATGTAATATGTGAGGTGAGGTGAGGTGAAATTGGGTTTAACGTCGTGCTTGAGAATGTTTTGCTCATATGACGATTTGCATGCATGTGTATGTGTATACCATGCCACAGTGAAGCATGAATACCCCTCTCAGACACATTATACTGACTCTGAGCCGACCAGTCCTTGTTGTACCCATTAATGCCGAGCGCCAGGCAGGGACCAACGAGTACCATATTTTAACGTCTTTTGGTATGACGCGGTCGGGGATCGAACCCGCGACCTACTGCTCTCGGGGCGGAAGCTCTAACCACTACACCACGGAGGCGGTTCATGTAATATGTAAAACTTGGCGATAATTGGTCTTTGGCATGAACTGGCCACCGGCAAACACTGTGAGCAAGGCTGATGGCATGATGATGAAATTAGATTGCAGTTAGTCAACGTAAACTTGTGGTTAATGTTAAGAAAACAGTGTGCATGCATAACTTATTTGCTTGTCATTTTTTCTGTAATCGTTTTTTGATGAAAAACCTCTTTTATGAAAATATATATAAATGAAAACAAACATGGGATTTATTAATTTTTTTCATAGATACAAATTTTGCTTTTTAGGCCCCACTCAGCATTATTCCAGCTATATGGCGGTGGTCTGTAAATAATCTAGTCTGGACCAGACAATCCAGTGATCAACAGCATGAGCATCGATCGATAGTCACCTTTTGTGGCAAGCATGGGTTGCTGAAGACCTATTCTACCCCGGATCTATGTAAGTATGTATGTATATATGTATGTAGTTGTTTATTTCAGTAAATCAGGCCACAGGCCCATTTTACAATGCGTAGACTGGCAAAGATGTTGATGTTGCGCCACCAGTACATGTTGCAAGTGTAACAAGTCATATCTGGTACAATATACATGTAAATATAAAATAGGTAGGTTATGTAATGGACAATTGCTTGCATGTATGTATATGTATGTATGTATGTAGATATGTATGTATGTTTTTCCCCCATCGTTAAAATTTAGGGGGGATACGGGCAGAAGTCTGGTAAGAGTTCCGCCTGTAACCTGCTTTAAATGTATTCTATTTATTAGGAATATTTCGATGGTTTAGCGTTTAGGGTTTGGGCTAGGACTAGGCTTTTCATAAAAAAACCCCACATCAATTCTAAGGCATAGAATGATAAAAATGGGGGTTACGAGCGAAAATCTTTCCGGAAGTCTTACCAATAAAAAATAACTATAACATTTCTTAAACGCAATATTGAACAGCCTGGTTGCCACTGGCACTGGTTCGTCTTCATGAGGGAAAGCTTACCGCCATAAGTTTCACGCACAATCTGGATCATTACTGGCTTAAACACCAATGTGATTCATTCAGGCGAGCTGTCAGTCTCTTATTGGTGTGTTTATTTAATAAATTACGATCACTACAGTATCGTGTCTCACCTGATATGGCAGAAACAACAACAAATCCCCACAAAGTCAAATACAGCCTCTTTCCTCCATGTTGTCGCGCTTCCGTATTGGGGATTCCTCTGGGACAAGACGATTCTCAAGGCTGAGGGGTGGTGATTTGTGGCAGATTATTGATGCCGCCGATGAAAGATGTAGCGTCGGTGAAAGGTCAATCAACTCTGTCAGTTATAACACTTAAAGGTGTTTCAATGATAAAATAAGGTTATCAGAGATAGTAGCCGAGTAAAGCAGATGGTAAACGTCACCATACCCAATACGTATCCCTGCGGTATATAGACTCGTCCATGACTCTTCACAGCTGAGAAGGTCAGTCAGATCTGACGTCACGTATGTGACAAAATGGCGGCAGATTTGGCATTTTTGTGAAGTCTGGACTCAATAATTCACAGGAAAAACGACCAAATCGATGGAGTTTATCATTTTTCGAAATGGCCGAGCCAAAAAGATTGGAGTTTAAGACGATTACACCAACACAAAAGCCGAAGAAGAAATTGTCGTACCCAGCAGCAGATCGTTTCTCGCTGACACTAACTGATTCGACCGAGACGACTTGCCCTGAGTTTTCCTATACCGAATTAGTGAAAAATGCTGTGGTAAGTTCATCTAAACTACACCAAAATGTCGCAAGTTATAGTGAATTCTCTCTCCTTTCGATTGGTATGTTGTACTATATGCATCTACCTTTAATATTACACGTTTCGTAGGGAATTCCGTGCCTCCCCTGTCATGTTGTTAGTCGACATTTTCGATCCCTGTTCATGAATTGGATGATAAAATGTGCTTGAAAATGGCCGAACCTCGGCTAGTAGGAGCGATAATGTTCTCAAGTTGCATAGAAAACAGGCAGATACTATGCTTCGCCATTTTGAACCATCAACCCTCAACTACGACAGTCTGGGAAAATTTTACAACTTAACGCTCTCCCACACCCCCTTCACCGGTCATACTGTCACTTTTATAACAGCATCGGTATATGCTCAATCCTAACTTTTGGACGAGTCAAATTTTGAAACGTATTTTCATCGAGATGTGCGTATTTTTATTGAAAAATTGTTAAATTGTGAAGCTAAGCATTACCCACAGGCCATGTTATTTGTCGACTGCCATGTTGGGCCGAGCTAGGACACGCGTGCACATTTCGTCTGCCAAGGCTGGGGTTGGCAGGTTGGGAGATTTTCATACATTATGCAGCGCTACTTTTAGGCGGAAACAGGCATAACATGTTTTTGATCAACTTTATTATTTGTGTTCGGGAAGAATTGGAGATAAGGGAGCAGACATGTACATTTTGGTTAACTGACATCACGTGATAATATTTTGTGTTGAAAGTTAAATTTTCTTTCTAAAGTTGTAAACTTCGCTACATGGAGCTGCATGTCGTTCGATGAGTATTGGATTATATTAGCCATGTCAAGCTCTGATGTCGGGGTTTAGGGTATGTATATTCTCAGGAGGTCTGAACTGTTTCTGTAATTACATATTTGAGAATGACTGATAAATCTATTTTCTGTTATCATTATGCAAATTAGATCGATCGTTGAGTTTTGCCCACGTGAGGAGACTAAGTAGGTCAAGTGCTATTTTTAGCACAGTTGTCTATGCATTGATACCGACGCTTCCTTGTGTTGAAAACAATGCGCTCGCGTACGCTATTGATGATGGTTGATTTTCACGATCTTTTGTAAGTAAGTTATTGATTTTATTGATTGATTATTGGGTGATTGGGTGAACTTGACAGCGGAAGGTCATATGATGGGCCGTTTTGCGCATGTGGTGTGAGTTTGTGTTAGCGGGCGGGTCTGGGAGCAGTGTGTTGGGGGTTTGACTGCGCTGGGGGTGTCTACGCGTGATAGATGTGAGCGCGCACGGCTGCCCCAGGGTAGCGGGTGGGTTAGCATGCGCGTCATTCACGCTGGAGCGCACATGCACGCGCGTTATAATGCACGTGCGGAAAAGTGGAAATTACAGATTTTGGCGTATTTTTGATTGCAGATGTGTTTCGATTCATATTTTCAAAGGAATGCAAACGCTTTTGTTACGATTTTCAAGTATTTTTGTCACTTATATTATATTGTTTTGAAGAGAGAAAGTCCTGTCTAAAGGGGGAACTTCACAACAGATCTGATTGAAACATTTTATCTAAATGTTACACAGTATGAATAACATGTTTTATTGGGCAAAGAATATGTTAGTCATATTTTTAACAACACACATTTGTTCATAAAACAAATAAGGAGTCTAAATGATTTTACCCCAAAACACACAATTAAAATTTACCTTCTCAAATTAAAGGTTTTCCAGGTAAGGAGCTATATTTATTTAATCATCAATCATAAGATTGGAACTGTCTTCCTTGAAGACGGCTAAAGATTTCTAGGTTAACAGTCAATGTCCAGTTATTTGATTTGTGATCGGGTATTCTGACAACTTTTTTAGCTGTCAAATGTATGTAGTAACGTGTATGTTATATTCAAATTGGATAATGCTAGTTTTCTTTTGTTGTGGGTGTGTAATTTTACTCCCATGGGTATTTTTACACCAATGAGTGGACGTTTTGTTAAACAGTTCTGATTGAAATGATGTTACAGATGTGTACTTTGAACCCATTCAGTATACTGCCCAACAGTGTCTGATGTGTCACCTGAACTCTCAAGAGCTACATAAGCCTTTAAGTAATTTACAATAAGCAGGATATGACATACATCCATGCATAATTCACTTGATTAGAATTTGTGAATGTTAGCTTGACATTGCTTTGTTAAAAGGGCACTGAGCAAGAAATATGCAGTGAATTTTAATGTTGTCACCAAGCTGGCTGTTAAACATCAGGATAATGTTAACAGCATTTTCTGTGATAGTCCCAGGTTTGGTCAGTTTAGGGGAGGCAACTCCATCACTGCCTCTTGGATATTCAAAGCCTCATGAGGGTAGACATTGGGACCCAGTTATTTTTACCTGCTGGAACGTGTTTTAATGGGATTGTAACTTGTGAACTTGTCCCATACTGGCATCCACAGGAGAATTTACATGGGTGAGATTGACATCGCTACAATGAATTAGGCCTACCTTTAGAATACAGCACCACAAACTTTAAAAATACGTCATAATACCGTTTTACGTAATGTAATGTGATTTTGTTTGAAAGCACGTTCTCGAAACAATGCCCTATGACGCCTGCATGGCAACACGGTTGTCTGGCTCAGCGAGTGCATATAAGCTCCGCTCACTGGTGTTTCATCTCTACAAGCTATGTCATTGCATAAGCCCAACAATGTTGAGAGTTTCCAGTAGTTGTATACCGGCAGATGCGCAATTTTTGCAAGCACCAGTTTGAAATATTTTTCTTTTTTCACTAATACGCTCATATTTATTTGTATTACGGGGTGCTGAGGTGTTATGTTTTGTGTATTATTGAATTTTGTATTTTTTAAATTTAGCGAGAATGCGTTACATCGGTCTATATTATATAAATTCGATTATTCGCAATTTTGGTCAATGTAATTATTTAAATTATGTAAATATATTTTATATTTCGGTTTCTAAGTAACTATTAAGTCTAAATGATTTACCAATGTGAACTGACATACATATATATATATATTTCATTCAGTAATTTGCACCATTACATAGAAACGTTTTTTATTTGTATTTTATTTTTCGAAGTGGTAAAAATGCACTGGACATGTCAGTCATGTTTGTGCCGGTTCGGTCAATGCATTTTATTTATTAGGATTATTTCAAGGGGTTAGGGCTGAGGGTTAAGGATTTAGGGTTAGGCACCTAATCCAATATAGTTGGTCCGGTGTAATACGTGAGTACCATTTGTTGTTTTTTCCTTTTTGCATTTTAATACTTTTTTTTCACACAAAACGGGAAACCAAAAACGTCGAAAGTACACTATGAAATGGTTTAATGTAGAAATTTTGGGCTAATGGAAATTACTGCATCCGAAGAGACACACTCAGAGGCCCAGATAAGCTGCGTATCTGGGTAAAATACGCATATAAAATTTGAAATTATGCATTGAAAAATAATTGTTGCGTACCAATTACACATTTAAAATGTTAGATTCGCAAAAAGTTTAAAACAAATGCGTACGGAATATATTTATAAAAATCGCTTGCATAATGAAAAAGACATTGATTGCTAACAAGTTGTACTGTTAGTATAGGACAAGTGCTGTACTGTCCATTTAGGATGACTGAGGGACTTTTTATGAACTCATTTCAGGGTTCGAAATACGCCATATATTAGCATGCCATGGCACAGTAAATATTGAAATGGCACGGATAAAAAAGGTTCTTGGTGCCCTTAAGGCACACCTAAAGTTTTAGAGACATAACTCACCTCTAGTCCTTTAATCCCCAAAAACAAAACACTTACCCAATGACAAACACAGGCAAAAACATTTATTGACTTTATCGCCCAGGAAATCACTGGAATTATGATGGATGATATAAAAAAATGTGGTTGTTTTTCCATTTAGAGTGATGGGAGTACTGATAGTTCGAGTAATGAGGAGGTAATTGTGTATGATTGATATATTGAACAAGTGAACCTGTCACAAAATTCTTCAAATTATCATCATCATTGCTACAGTCATTTATTCTGAAAAAGATGTGGGCACACTTGATTTCTGAAAGGCACACTTAAAATCTTTGCCTGGTGCCCTAAGGCACACTTAGAAAAAAATGTATTTCTATCCCTGCATTTCCATTATATTTAAGTTGGTTTTGATTAGGTATCACATAGTCATGAGGCAGAACATAGCTGCTTGGTAAACTTACTCAGTCACATAATACTTAGGTGAGTAAAATGACTGAAATACGCACATGTTTGAAAGCAGTGGGTAACGGAAAATAAAATACCCACTCAACATTCATAATACCCACTCCAAAAAATACAGTGGATACAGTACCCACATGAGCTAAATCTTATCTGGAGCTGTGCACACTAAATACCTACAGTGCATCAGGACTAGTTATCTGTGTCAGTAAAAAATTTCACCCATCAGTCATGACTACTGTCTACATGACCACTGATTCATTCCAGGCTCTGAAGTCATTATCTGAACATACACTACTGGCTGCCAAACAGTTATCGCAGTGTCACAGTTATTGCCAATACAATCTGTATCACATGTGCGCAGTTCAGGGCACTAACACTTTTGTTATTTCTTCCCACGGTATTTGACAACAATGAAGGACAGCAAAAGAAAATTCTTCACAGTAAGTAACATCAGAGAAAAATTAAAGATAAAGTTATGAACCCTATAAATTTTAAAGTTAGTCGCGAGGGGATGTATCACAATCTTTATATTAGCAAGTTCAAGTTACTTTATGATATGAATATATATTATTTCACAAATGAAATGAGAAAATCTGAAATGGCGACAACTGTTACAGTTAATAGTGAGGAAACACCTATTTGTACTGCGATGATTCCCTTCTGCCACGTTGTATAAATACTCCTCAGTCGACGACATTGAACAGGCTGGACACATCGGTGAATAGCTAATTAAGTATTGTAATTAATTGTTTCATTAATTTAACGAACAGTGGAGTACATTTGTAAATTACGCTGAAATTTGGTG